TGGAAGGGGTCTCCAGGGTCATCTAGTCCAACCCCCTGCACAATGCAGGAAATTCACAAATGCCTCCCCCCCACACCCCCAGCGACTGCTGTTCTACTCCCAGAAGATGACAAAAAACCTCCAGGATCCCTGGCCAAAGTGGTCTGGAGAAAAATTGCTTCCTGACCCCACAGTGGTGATCAGCATTTCCCTGGGCATGTAAGAAAGGGCCACCAGAACTAAGCACTGAGGCAACCCTTCCTGCCCTCCCCCTCATGATCTGCTCAAGTTCACAAAATCAACATTGCTGTCAGATGGCTATTGAGCCTCTGCTTGAAAATCTCCAAAGAAAGAGAGCCCACCACCTCCCGAGGAAGCCTGTTCCACTGAGGAACTGCTCTGTCAGGAAGTTCTTCCTCATCTTTAGCCGAAAACTCTTCTGATTTAATTTCATCCCGTTGGTTCTGGTCCCAGTTTTTGGGGCAACAGTAAAGAAATCGGTACCAAGAAATCAAGAAACTGTCATTTCTTACCATTGGCAATAATGGGAATGGTCCTAGAAAGACTTGACGAAGTAGTCGGTGATCCAGAATTATTCACTACTAGGTTTTTTGGGTAGTTTCAGAGGACCAGCTACATTCATCTGCAGCTGAAGTTCAAGTTCAGGAGCTCTTTGAGAGACCAACACGTTTTGGAAGGTATAAACTTTGAAGAGCCAAATCTCCAACAATGGAAGCTTTGACTCACAAAAGATACCCTGAAAATCTTGATAGTCCCTAAGCTGCTTTTGTTGTTGTTCAGTTGCACAGTCGAGTCCGACTCTTCGCGACCCCATGGACCAGCTCCCGCCAGGCCCTCCTGTCTTCCGCCGTCCTCTGAAGTTTGCTACTGGCTTCTAATGTAGTTCTGAAGAAAATGTGTAAGGAGTGCAGAGCCGTTCTTTCTGGTGCAACAGTGCACTGATAATGGGTCAAGAAGAAATGTGTTCTACTGGTTAAAGTTAGTTGCTTTGAAATCTGCCAATAAGTGGACATTTAGTACAAATTATCGATCTGTGTCGTAGTTTTAAATTCCGTTTGCTGGTTTGGAATAGCAACGTGTCCGTAAAACTGCAGCGGCCACTTTTCAGAACCGCTTTCATGGTTTCAACAGTTTTGATATGTTGTGTGGCCAGAGGAAGACTTGATGCATCACTTTCCTCTGGTAGCGGTACAGGCCCGTGGCTACAGTGGAGCATTTGGGGGGCCCGTCCCCTTAATTAAAAGCATTCCCATGATCCCCCAAATCCCTCAAATTAATTTGCATGTTTCCCAAAGGCTCCTGGGAATGCTTTTGAAAGACTCACCACGACCTTGGTGGTATACAACAGGAATGGGCTAGCAGAAAGGGAGATGAATTGAAGGGGCCACTTTTGAGTGGCTCTTCTAAGCTTCCTAGCCCTGTGGAAGGGAATTAAAAAAGATATTTAGATGCCTTCTGAGCTGTTTTTTTCCGAGGAGCTCACTTTCGTGTCCCTTGAAAGGGAGGGCTAGAAACAGGCTCGGAGCCTCCCCCTTTAAAGACGGGAATTCAGATTAATGTGTGTCAGAACCCACAGCTAACAACGAAGTACATGCATTCAGGAACGGTTATACTTTTATTGCAAAGCTATAGATGCAGTAACAAAGGCACTGTTAGGAATGGCGGCAATCCATAGAACCAAATAGGATATAGGGTATTCGTATGCACACACACACACACCCATGGCATGGGCCAGTTAGGTACCCTCCCGCGTGCGGGATAAATTAGGAAACCATTAGGTGGCTAAAGCTGGGAACCAGGAGTCTCTCACTGTAGAAGGGAGACTTCCAGACAACACAACC